TTTGATATGATTCAGAAACAGAATTCAGAATGAGTCCATTCCTTCAAACCTTTCAATCATATGTCTGATTTCTTAGAAAATATGTCAATGTAAGTAGGGGACTGATGTCAATCCAAACCAAACTATTTGGCAGATCCTCAGAGAACATGAGCCTTTGTTCTGATCAATGGTCTTTTTTAGGATTCTTTCCCTTGCACCCAATCAAATCAAAACTTTGGATAAAGTCAACTTTTGACTACTCCTCATCTACATCCCTGTGACTAGACATGGGCAGAGTACAGAAGTGTGGCCAAGGCACTAGTGAAACTCATGACCTCAGAGTCCCTCACACTGCCAGCAGTCTACCTCCTTCTCCATCACTGATTATCCTCTCAAATAGCTCCTCTCTCACCTCCTTTACCATCCCTACACTCAGCCTATATCCATGGAAGCAGAAGCAGTTGGAAGAAAACTTCTAGCACTATGGGTTTGTCTTCCCCACTGAATGCTTGGAAATGATACTCCTAGATCCCCAGGAATCTGTTCTTAATCCACATTTTGGGTTGGAAAAAACAGATAAAAGTGAGATGAGGGAAATAGAATATTCCCATAGAGGTCATGTTAAGTAACTCTGAAGTCAAAAGCTGAATCAAAGCAATTTAGTGTCTCCTTATTCAATACAAATGTAAACCATCTTGATATTATAGTAATTATCCTGAAATCTCATGTGCTTCTTTCCAAAAGGACCATTTTCCTTATTTGTCTTAAAATCTGAAAGATGTATTAGTTTACCGAGATTTCAAACACTACTCCCCTATATTGCTAACTTCAAAGACACGGTAGACGATGACTTCATAGTATAAATATTTCATGTCTTCTGAATTTTTCATGTTATATGTACAGTTCACATGAATAATGGAAAGAAGCTCATAGGCAGCATTCATAGTTACATTATGCAATACTGTTAGAGTACTCTGTTATGTATATGGAAGGTGTGGAGAAGCCTCTGAATAAAAATGTCTTTAAAAAGCAGCCAACCCTCTAGAATGCCTGGCACTAGAAAGAAATAATTTATATTAATGCTATTCACAAAGTTTTGATTAGCACACTTACTGAGCTCATAGTTTGATATTTGAGTGATCTGACTTGTCTGGGGTTTATTCCACTTCTTTATAAAAGTGGATAATTCACTCAAAAGAGGTTATACCTTGGAAAGTACTCAATGATACACTGGGATGCAGAGTGATGGAGGAGGGGGGTGAGGGGGGGCAGAAGACAGAGAAGCATTAATTCCAGAAATGAAAGTCAACCCTTCCAAGATCAACATCTGCTTCCCCAGTTTATTGCAAAATGCTGCCAACTTTCAGTTTTCATAAATACATAGTTACTGACTACCATTAAGATTCAGCCAGCTGAAATGTTGAGAAAGCACTGACCTTCCCTTGGCCAGCTCCACTGTGTCATGGAATTACTTAAAGAAAATGAGAGAAAACAATACTCATCTAATACAATTATTTGTGTATGGGGGGTGAATAATATGACAAGAACTCTCTTTGCTCAAGTTGGTTGTTATTCATGTGTGAAGACATCAAAATTCATCTGACAAATTCTTTAGGTCACCAATCATGTATTAATTATTTTTATTTTTGTTTTTATCACTTTAAGATATAGTTCACTGCTAGCCAGTGGTTTTCCATAGATGCCCCTTATCAAATAAGGAAGTTCCACCTAGTCTTACTTTTTTGAGGATCATTAATCATGAATGGGTGCTGAACTTTGTCAAAAGGTTTTTCTATGCCAACTGATAGGATCATATGATTTTTCTCTACCACCTCACTGACAGGATGGATTCAAGCAACTGGGTTTTGAAGAGTGAATCCATTTTGTTGTCATGTGTAATTCTTTTTATACCTTATAGATCCAGGGTTTTTTTATTTTTTTTATGTGTATGCGTGCATTGCCTGCATGTACGTAAGTGCACCCATGTCGTGCAATGCCCATGGAGGACAGAAGAGGACGTCAGATCCTCTGGAACTGGAGTTACAGACAGTTGTTAGATGCCATGTGGGTGCTGGGATTTGAATCTGGATCTTCTGCAAGAACAGCCAGTGTTCTTAACCACTGAGCCATCTCTCCAGCCTCATATATCCAGTTTTTATGGAAAGTTTTGTGTTTACCATAATGATAGCTAACACTTTTCTGTAGTTGCCTTCTCTGTAATGTCTTTTTTTCAGTTGTGGTATCAGGGTGGTCCTGGCTTTATCAAATGAGTTGGGAGACTTCCCTCTGCTTCTACATTCTGGAAGAGATATAAAGACCACTGGGGCACAATTTTAATCCCAGCACTTGGGAAGTAGAGGGAGGTGAATCTCTGTGAGTTCAAGGCCAACTTGCTCTACATAGTGAGTTCCAAGCCAGCCAGACTACAGAGTAAGACCCTATCTCAACAAAAGATGAAGAAGAGGAGGAAGAGGAGGAGAAGCAGGAGGAGAAGCAGGAGGAGGAGCAGGAGGAAGAGGAAGAGGAGGAGGCGGCGGCGGAGGAGGAGGAGGAGGTGGAGGAGGAGGAGGAGGAGGAGGAAGAGGTGGTAATATGCAGGTCTTGTGCAGGTTAACCACAGTTACTGTGAATTCATGGGTGTAACAACTATGTCATGGCCAGAAGACAGCATTTCATAGCACTCCTCCCCTTCCTCCAGCTCTTACATTCTTTCTCCCTCTCTTCCACAATATTCCTTGAGCCTTAGTTGAAGGGGATATCAGTAAAGTTGGCCCATTGGGAAGTTAAAGGAGGTAAGTGGAAATAGATATGATTATGCTTCATTTATATACAATGTATGGGATTCTCAACAAATAAAAAGAGAACTGGTACTACCTCCTCCTTCAGAGTTCAGTAGGATTGACTGATAAAACTACTCACACTTGCTGTTCCCTAGGTTTGGTGTGATCACTCTTTACTGTTTATATTTTAATGATGATAGAACAATTAAGGTTATCTATTTCTCCTTGAATAACTTTTGGTAGTTTGTTTCAAGTAATTAATCTATTTCCTATAAATCCTCAATGGTGGCCACAGGGTAGTCATCTGTCCAGGCTTCAATGGACACAGAAAGAATAGTGAACAACTTTTCATTTCCAATACTGGTTACTTATGTCTTCCCTTTTTTATTCTTGTTTACCATAGCTAGAGATTTATTAACTTTAATGATATTTTCAAAGAACTCATCTTGGGTTTTGGTGATTTTTCCTTAAAGTTTTCCTGTTTTTAATTTCACTGATTTTTGCTCTAAGGTGTCTTATGTCTTCAGCTTGTTCAGGTTTAAAATGTTCTTCCATGTACAGCTTCCTAAGATGGAAACTATTAGGTTACTATTTTTATAGCTTTTTATTCTGTAATATAGGCAGCTAATATTACATAGTTCCCTCTATGCAATGATTTTATTGTCTCCCACAAACTTGAACATACTGTATTTTTGGTTAGTTCAAAATATTTTTTACCTTAAGATTTTTTCGATTCACGGATTATTTAAAAATGTGTTGCTTAAATTCCAAATATTCTAGGATTTATTCACATATCACTAGCTATTGAGTTGTAACTTAACTTCATTATCATCTCAGAATATATTTTTTAAGTTATCTATTCTCTTAAACTGGTCAAAATGTGCTTTATGACCCAGACTTTAGTATCTGTGGTGAATGTTCCATGTAAAATTGGGGGAAAAAAATCTCTAGCCTTTGTATGAAGCACCGTGAATTTTCAAAGAAACAAATGAACATTAAGTCTAAAGATTACAGGCATCTCTCATTTTTAAAAATCAAATTTAGCAGGGTGTGATGGTACATGCCTATAATCCCAGCACTTGGAGCCGGAAAATACTAAGCTCCTGGTTGCTACATAGTTATATAGAGAGACCCTGTTGAAACAAAGAGAGAGAGAGAGAGAGAGAGAGAGAGAGAGAGAGAGAGAAATACTTTTGATATTTCAGGAAATGATTTCATTGCGTCTTCAGTTTCAGAAACATTTATAAATTAATTGTTCTATGTCATATCTCAAATAGGTGATACTTGTAAAATGCCTTTTTTTAAAATTTGATACAAACCAAACATTAAGTAGATACATTATTATATATAAACTCCTATGTAGGGTATAAACTAATTTTTTCTGCAATTATGATTACAGTTGGAAAGCTTAAAGCTCTGTCAGCTTTCTTAAGTAAGAAAAGGTAATGTTTGCCAAATGCAGAAAAAAGAGGGCATTTCATTGTAGTCTCCTAAGAGGTTATTAAAAATAACATTTTATAAAAACTATTTCTAAGGGTATTTGAAATTCTTCATTTATATGACACCAGCTTCTAATTTAAACCTAATTGGAGAGAATAAATTGGGAATAAATTACATAGAAAAGAGGTAAGAACATGGGCACTCTCGGTTTCCATAGCAGCCTCTCTGGATGCTGCAGTCAATAAGCTTCCAATTGGGAGGCCTGCCTTATGCCAACTACTCTCTTGATGGAAAAATTATACTTTGCACAGTCTGCAACATCCACTCAAAAGAATATACAACTGGATAAATAGAAGCAAATAACTAAGCTTAAAAATCAACCAATAAAACTCAATTGATTGAACAAACTCCATCAAATTATGAACCGCTCTCTAGTAGGAGCTCACTAACACCATCCCCAGGGCTGCATGTGATCCTTCATTTCCAAAGCTCACTGGGTACATGGTGTGAAACTCCAATCACACTGATTCCACCTTGGGTCCGGTAGGTCAGCTTTCATGCATGCCGCTGACTTTCCCATGTGTTAGCCTCCTTTGTTGGTTTCAAGTAACCAACTATTATTTCAACTTGGGATAGCCATACTATCTCCATTCAAACAACATGATTAAAAAAAAAACTGATGCTGGACTCACTCAGACACATGTGAAGGAAACAAAGGGCTATAACAAGATCAAGAAGATTAAAGGGACAGCCTGATTTTTAGATCTAGTAAATCGTTTTTGTTTTTGTTTTTTTAATTACCTTTCGTCGAATCATCCTCTATTGGCTGTTTGAACAACGTAATATCCTTGAACGTGCACAGGAACAAGACCACCTTCTCATGTTCGTTTCTTATTGGTGCAATTTGCATGTAAAACCAAACAGGGGTTCCTATAATGGGGAAAGAGGGAGAGAAAGGAAAATAGAGCATCACAGGGTAACAGCAAGTTGGAAGAATTAAAAAATAAAAAAAAAAAAAACTTAATTTAGCCAGGGCTGGTGGTGCAGGCCTGGCTAATAATCTGCCAAGACTACAGAGTGAGTTTGAGGCCAGTCTGGGCAGCTTAGTAAAACCCTGTCTCAAAATTTAAATTTAAATTTAAATTTAAATCTGAACATTCAGAGGGGCTGGGGATGCAGTTCAGTGATAGAATGCTTGCCTTGTATATGTGAGGTCCTAGATTCAATCCCCAATACAAAAAAAAAAAAAAAAAACAAGAAAAACAATACTTCAACTCTATATCAGCTACCAGTTGTTCATATGTAATAAACATCCTAAAGCATGGACACTCTAAAGTAGAGCACAGAGTGTCTCTTCGCAGTTCACACATTCCAAGCTGGTCTAGCTACTAAAGTGATGCCAGCAACACCTTTACGTCTGGGACCCCAGGCCTCTGCCGCTCTCCCAGTCTTCTTTCTGATAATCTAGTGTGATCACTCCTCCATGCTTCTCTGTCCTGTCACTTTGACAAGTGTTTCCAATTAACTGCAACAGCACTAGCTGACGCTCTGATAGGCATCACTCCTAGAGGAACATCTGAAATGCTGCCTCTAGCACAGGCTCTTTCATCAGTCAGATGGACTTCCACACATCAACAGTGGCTTTGAATGTATCCCCGATCACAGAAGACACCAGCAACAGCTGATACCTACTGTTCAGAGCTCTACCTGAAACCTTCAGGGCAATCTTAGCAGGCAAAGCAAAGCACACATGTTTGTAGCTTGGAAATCTCAGGTATCTTCACGAACCACTGTCTCCTGCCCCCTGAGGCTCAACTCTGCCACTTCATTCTTCAAAGAACAACTACTGTAGACTCCAGAGGGAAGAGGGTTTCAGACTATTCAAAGCTTAGGATTCAAATAAAGCAGGAACTGACAAATGGCAAATAATGAATAGGTGATGGTATAAGATATGACCTCAAGGGAATAATTACCTGAATTGGCAACACACTGAAAAACGTTTGGTCAGAATTAAAAAGACACATTTTCCATTATGTTTTCATCAAGTAAAATTGCCCCCAAAAAGCCCCTCAAAATATTCTTTCTTAAGGACAGAAGTGGTTTGGGCAGGTTTAGTATTTGGAAAATAGATATGCAGCTACTGATATTCTGGAAGTGAGAAGAGATAGCCTCTTAGCGGTTCCCAATGGAAACCAAACACCTCATACCTATTTCCAAAACTGCATCACCTAATGCCACCACAAACCTAAAGTAATAAGAGTAATCTCAAATTATCTGCTAAACTTGGGCACATATCTAAGGCATTCAAGGACTAACCTGCCATTTAGACAAAATGAGTTGAGTCACTTACCAGGTTCAAGAAGTCAGAGCATTACAGAAAGGAGATTTATAAGGTAATATGCAGTTTTAGCCACAAGGTCTTTTATAGCCCCAGCAGGCCCATGGAAGGACATATCCCTTTAGAAAATGATTGCAGGATGAGACAGGGACTTGGAAAACAATCACATCATCTCGAAGCAAGACTTGATCCTTGCTTCCTCCTCCTTAGTTTACAGTGTGTCTGGGAACTGTGAGTGATGTGCAATTTTACAAATAACAAGCCCCAGATGCTTCTGTGTACATGGTCTGTGACTGCTCTAAAATAGTGAGTTCAAGGCAGAGGGGTCATAAGCAAAGAGAGAAGCACATTGAAAATACCTTTTTTTCCAAAGGTCTATGAGAAATTTGAACAGGAGATAGGGTTATATTTCAAGCCTTCCTATGAAACCGACAAACTCCAAATTCTGGCAGAGATGTGGCTGCCTGAAAAAGCTGCTTTCAGATATCAAGATAGACTTTTTTTCAACTTCTCAAGTCATAGGATCAGACTTCTCCAGGCAGGCCAAAGATTTTCAAGCAATTGATGGAATATCCTTTATATCCTGAGTTTGAAGTTCAGAGGGACAGGGAGTCTGGAAGGAATGGGCAGAGGCTAGTTCCCCACTGACTCTCAGAGCAGGACCTGATCACTGGTTATGAGGAGCCTGGTTAGGTTCTGTCTTTGTTCCATAGATACCAAACTCTCCTCGGAATAGAAATCACCCTCTACTAATCAAAGCACTAAATGGAAAAAAAATAGAGGCACCAATTGAAGTGTTGATCCTGACAGAGTAAATCAGATACCTGGGCTGCCCCATTTTCAAATCAGTGCTTAGCTACTTAATGGCTGTATTAGGAGGGCTTGGTATTCAGGCATTCTGGAGCCTTCTACAGATAGGTAACATTTTCTACCTAACATTTTTCAAAGTCATAAGAACAGACATTTTACAGTTTGCAAAACTGTTTCAACTAACCATTTATAAGATTTTTTTATGCATATGAGCATATTGGCTTCAAGTATATAAAAGCACCCATGTCATGTAATGCCCACAGAAGTCAGAAGAGGGCATCAGATCCCCTGAAACTGGAGTTATGAGTGGTTGTTAGCCACCATGTGGGTGCTGGGAATGGAACCCAGGTCCTCTGCAAGAGTAGCCAGTGCACTTGGCCATTGAGCCATCTCTCCAGCCCCTACAAGACTTTTAAAGCTGACTAAAATAATACAATTCCAACATAATGCATGAATAACATCCTTTTTATTAAAGGAAAAACAAAAGTAAAAATGAAAGCATAAGGTATACAGACAAGAGACAAGACTTTTAATCTACCGGATCACTCTCCTATCAACTATACACAAACAACTGCATGTAAATATATAGTTCTCTGAGAAAAGCCAGGCAGACCTGAACAAAAGTTGATAATTTTAACCCATGAACACAATGTAAAAAGTTTCAACTACCCTTGAAGGAAAGTTTTCATTTCAAGTTATTACTAATGTGGTTTAAAGTAAATAAACAAAATAGAATTCCACTGAGGTAATTTTAAGAAATTCAAACAATAGATTGGCTTTAACGTCTGAAAATCAAACAAAGATTTGTGAATTCTGTTTAAAAATCAGGCCAATGTTCTTGAATTATTTGCTAAACTTGGAGCCTATAAGTCATTCAAGGTCTAACAAATCTATATGAAAATGAGGAAGGATTGGGTATGTATGTCTCCTCTGAATCAATATATATTCAGATCTTAGGGGAAGAGGCCAAGAAAGAACCTGCAGTCTGCCTCTTGCAGAGCAAAGCGCTGATCATTCAGAATAGATTGTTTTCTACTTCACAAGCTGGTATCTAGGTATGACGTCAAACAGAAAGATCTCTTTGGCCTTGAACCTAAAATGCAAGATAAGATGATGACACACTCAATATGTAAAACCATTGAAGACAAGTTCCTTTATCAAATGCACTGCTCCAAGGCAGCATCTACGTCTATGGCTGCTGTTTCTTTTTGTTAGTCTATTACTAAGGAAGAAAAATCTAATTTTAATTCCAGATATTTCATAGAGAATAATGGCTTGAAAGAAATGGAAGGAATAAATTATGTACCACAATATTGAACAGAGGAGCCCAGAGCAAATGTATCCTGCTGAAGCTAGGGCTTCCCAAACTCAGAAAGGCTTTAATAACCACTGAAGATGACACTGGACCTTGCAAGCATTGACCATGAACACACACACACACACACACACACACACACACAAAATGGACACACCTTATGAAAGGGACTGTTCACATGAAGAAAAAAAGAACAATTTGAGAAAAGAGCAAAAAGAGACAAAGATCAGTGGTCATGCAGTGAAACCAAGTTAGAAAAAAGACTTGGTTGTGGAGCAGAGGCATTGGGGGGAGGTTGCTATTGTTTTATTGTTTGATTGAATTTTTCCTTCAAACTCTGATGATGCCCATAAGGTTCTGTGTGATGCCATCTTGGGCAACTAACCACGCCTAAGTATAATCCTAGAGGACCGCTCACAACAGTCAATAGAAATTCCAGGCCTGTGCACAGCCTGTTCTCAGAGTAATGACGAGGCCCACAAGGCTTCCACAAGCAACAGTCTCAGTCTAGCTGAATCCCATGCTTATAAAGACTGACATCAAGTAACAACCACATATTCACCTTACTAATGTTGTCTAAAAAGATACATGTAGCCATTAACCATCAAAAGAAATGTGTGAACTTGTCATTTTTTGTTATTATCACATAATTTACCTTATTATATTATTAAAAATATTCTCTGAGCTTATACACAAAAAGTCATGTTTTGATAACATACAGATTGAGAGAAAACATTTATAAACTATACATTTGATAAGAAGTTAATATCAAAAAAATAAGAAAACCAATTCTATAGAAAGCAAACAAACAAAACAATTAAAAATGGGCAAAGAACCCAGATAGACGTTTCTCAAAAGAAGACATACAAGTGGCCGAGAGGTACATGAAAAGAATTCTGAACATCACTAGTCATTAGGGACGTACAAATCAAAATGACAATAGGTATGGTTGCCCCATCTATCAGAGTCACTATCATCAAACAGATGACAGGGTAAGTATCTGCAAGAATATAGAGGAACAGACTCACTGCTGCTGTGAATGTGCCTCAGTACAGCCACTACAGAAAACCTATCCAGAGGTTACTTTTAAATTTTTAAAACAGGATCAGCATATCACCAAGCAGTCACACTCCTTGGTTATTTACCCAAAAGATTTGACTCAGCATACAAACTGGATATCTGCACTCTCAAGTGCATTGCAGCACAATTCACCAACTATGTAAAGAACCTGAATGCCCATCAACAGATGAACTGATAAAGAAAATGAAGTCTATACACAAAATGAAATGCTATTCAGCTTTTAAAAGAATTTCTTATGCTAGGGAGATGGCTCAGTGGGGGTAACACTTGATGAGCAAGCAAGAGAGGATTGAGTTCAAATTCCAGCACCCATATTATAATTCATGGTGGGTTGTATGTACCCATAACCCCAGTGCAGGAGGCAGGAGTGGGGAACAGAGACCGAAGGATCATTGGGGCTTGGTGGACTGTTAGTCTAGCTGGAAAACAGTGCACTCCAGACTCAGTGAGAGATCCTATCTCAAGGGAATATGGCAGAGCAATAGAGGAGGATGGCTGACATTCTCCTCTGGCCACTGCAAACTCACATACCCACCTTCCATGTGTACACACATACATACGCCACACACACACACACACACACACACACACACACACACACGGAGTGACATGGGTGGAATACAAGAACATGATGCTAAGTGAAATAAGTCAGATACAGAAGACCAATACAACATGTTCTCATTTTAAGCAGAATTTAAAGCAATTGAACACACAGAAACAGAGAAGAGAACAGAGCAGAGATTCTTGGAAGCTGTGGGGTAGAGGAATTGAGGAGATGGTCTAGGGATACAAAACCTAGTGACACAAGAGAAATGCTTGTTTGACTGTGCTATCTATTGTACAGCATGGCAAACACACCTAATAATAATGTACTTTAGGCACCAAAATTGCCAAGAGAGTAATTTCAAATGTTCTCACCACAAAATATAAATATTTGAAGCACTGGAATATGTATTTGCTTGATTCAAATATTCCACACTATATTTATAAATCATAGCATTATTTTGTACCCCATAAATATGGACAAGTATGATTTCTCAATTTTAAATTAAATTGTAAAATTAAAACAAAATATACCATATTTTCTTCCATTATTCAAGAGCATGCTTTCCATAGTTAGATTTATTAATTTTGCTATCTAATTTTACCAGAAGGCTCTCCCCTGCACCAAGAACAGAAATAAAATACTACATCCTTCCTACTTGTTACTCAACTACCATTTACCAAACTATAACATTTAGAAAGAATTACAGCATTCTATTGATAACAGAAATACCTACGGTTTTTTTTGTACAGAAGAACTTCAAAACAGTTTGACTCGTAGTTGTCAAAAGTCTGCCTGACTTTCTCAATGGTCTTCTTGTCAGTCAATTCTCCATACATGAAACTGGAAGAAAAAGATCCATTTCATTTTTATGTCACTTTTAACCTAGTACAAAGATAATAATGTCTATGATTAAGTATCCCACTTTTTGTCCAAAATATGATGTTTCCACACAGTGAAATAAAATATTTAAACAGTCACTTCAACAAGCTTTATTGTGTACATTAGATTTGCAACACGCAGTAGGACATATATAGATAGTAAAGTGGTAAGTCGCGCTTTAATCACGATTGCTAAACTTCTTGCTGACAGCTTTAGAAATTGTTTCAAATGTAGAGAGAAAGAAAAAGACAGAACAGTTTCCGGATTCTACACAGTCCCTATGTGCACAAATTTCAATTACCATGGTTCAGTTAAATAAGAATCTTCACAGTAATGC